GGCCTTTTCTCAGTCTGTTAGATCAGGGCCATTTGGGAAAGAGCAGAGGGTCTGAAATCGATTGTCTTCAGAGTCCCCATGCCCTCCACAGAATATCTTACTGTCCCGAGGTTCGTATACCCAGTTTGCAGACTCCTGCTTAAGGAGTCTCCTATTCCAGGAGGCATTCTCTGGTTTCCCTCACTCACCTTTGTGTTCCTTCCTCTTCCCTAAAACATCCTTGCACACGATGCTTTGTTTCACTCTCCTGAACTGTATTTACCCATCTATTGAGTAAATGTTTTATTCAGTGCCTAGTATGTGCCAGGTGCTGTGTTTGGCACTGAAGACAATATGGTCAGCAAAGAGACAGGCATGTACCTCTTTTCATGGAGCATTCATTCCAGTGGGGGAGACGATCAATCGTTAAATAGCCACACAAATAAACATAAAATTACAAATATGGTAAGGGCAGGGGAGGGGTATGTGAAACTTGGTATCATGTGAACTCCCGGGGGAGGAGTGCCCTGACTCGTGAGGGAGGTCGGGAAGGCTTCTCTGCAGAAATGAAATTGAAATCAGTTGAAGGAAGGGCAGGGAGGCGTGAACGGAGGGTGGCGAGTGGGTAGAGATTCTCGGTGGAGGTCGCAGCATGTGCAAGGCCCCCTGAGCTGGTTCCAGAGTTCCCAGGAACTACTGGGTAGGTTTGGGGAGACGACAGAAGATGGATACTGTGCTCAGACAAGGACCTTAAAAAGGCCTTTCACGTGTATTCTGCATTATACATATTTGAATCTCAGAGCAAAGCTTAAAACAGAAGTAAACTTAGTGACCTTGGGTTAGACAGTGTTTTCTTAGGTGTAACATCTAAATCACGAGCAGCCAAAGAAAAAGTAGATCAACTGTATTTCATCAGAATTAAATACTTTCGTGCTTCAAAGGATACTACCAAGAAAGTGAAAGGGAAACCCTCAGAGTTGGAAGGAATATTTATAAATCATACCTGAAAAAGGTCTAGTATCCGTAATATATAAAGGACTCTTGCCACTCAACAAAAGGAAAAAACAATTAAAAATGGTCAAAGAATCCGAATATACATTTCTTCAAAGATGTGCAAGTGGCCAATCGCACATGAAAAGATGCTCAGCATCACTAATCATGAGGGAAATGCAAATCAAAACCACATGTTTGCCTGAAAATTGGTATAATGGGGTACAGGGTGGGTGTTGGAAGCAAGCGTTGCTACTTGTAACTTGTACAAGATTTATTTGCTATTGATATTGTGAAAATGTTTTTTTAATTTAATCCTAAAAGAAAGCAATTTATTTTTCTAGGCCTTAAGATGTCTTCGCTGGTGAGACCTCACAGAGGACAATATGGAAGACCTTCAGTGGCTAAAAGGTAAAGTGAAGTATTCTTTAAATATGTGTCTTGGTTTTTATGTGATCCCAGGGTAAAACAACAAAATAAGATGAGAACATAGTGCAGATATCAAGATTTAATTTTGGCAATTGTTGATTTTACTTTAATTTTAATTTCTGTAATTAAAAAAAATCCTGTTCCATCTTTTCTGATAGCAAAAGTTACACATTTAAAAATTTTTTTCGTTTTGGAATAATTATAGACTCAGGAAGTTACAATAAATATTTGCTTTTAAATATTCAAGCATCTCTGAAGTGCATGGACAAAAAGTCCAAATCCCCTGTAACCCCACCCTGAGCATTCGCCAGTGTGAACAGTCTGGTGTGTATTCTTTAGGCTTTTTGTTACATTTCTGGAGAAATCTGTAAACAAAGTAAACTCGAGTTTGGCTTGGTGGTCAGTCGTCTGCAGACCTAACTGCTTGTGTTTACTCATTAACATTCACCTCTGCAGATGCCAAGACAGACACCGTCAGGCCTTCGCACTGCCCTGTCCTTCACTGTCACTTTTGTACACTGCTTATGGCTCTGGGGCCTAGTTACTGGGAGCTGGAGTTGGGCCCCCACCCTACTGTGGCCTTGCTTCTCCTGCTTGAAGAACTTAAGAATGTGCAGTTTTTTTTTGGTCTGGGGCCCAGGGAGATGCTCTCTAAGTGCGCAGCTTTGGCGACGCATGCCGTCGGGGCCGGAACCTCTCTGGGAAACCTGCACCAGCACATCGCTGGGACTGGTTATCTGGGGAACTCTGCTAAGCCCAGCTACACCCAGCATTTGACCTATGACAGGTTGCTGCTGGTTGGAGTCAGGGCGCCTGTAAATGAAGCTCGTGTGGGTGCTGCTGTAGACCTGAGCACCCGCACCACACGCTCAGCCCTCGGGTCTAGCCTACTGCCTGCCTGCTACAGAGCCGGTCCTCCTCCAGTATCTGTGAGTTGGTGTTGAGTAAAAACATCTGAAGTGCTAAATAAGTAGTAGTCATATAGACCAAAGCCTTAAACCAAAAGAAAGGAGAAAAATATGAAAAGCAGACGGAAACATTCAAAACCATAGATGTTTTTGGACCATACCTTAGTCTTCCATTTCTGCCATATCAAATTATCACAAATTTAGTAGTTTCAAAGACCACACGTTTATCATCATCTGGCTTGGTAAGTCAGAAGTGCAACGTGGGTCTCACTGGGCTGAAATCGAGGTGTCAGCAGACCGCGCTCCTTTGTGGGGAGGCCAAGGGAGAGAATCTGTGTCCTTGTGTGTTTGGAATTTAGTTCCTTGCAGCTGTAGGTCTGGGGACTCCGTTTCTCTGTGGCTGTCAGCCAAGGGCCATTAGGGTCTGCTAGAGGCCTCCCTCTTGCATCTTCACGTAGTCTAGGCTCCAGCGGTTCTTTTAGGCCAGTTTTCTGCCTGCCACAGGCCATTAGACAGATGGTCCCAGTAACCCGAGAGCATCGCTCTGTCATGGGACAGCATGGTTACCCTATTTGATTCTAAGATGCAATTTATTTTTAAAAACTTTCTTTAAAATTTTCTAACATAAATCGAAATAAAGAAACTTTAATATACCCCTTAGACCATCACTTTATTCTAGTAAATACCGACTTTTGGCCAATCTGTGTCATCTTCTTTCACCCCAGTTGAAAATTATTTTGAAGCAAATCTCAGAGGACATATTTTTATATATATGCATTTTAATGTGTATTTCTCAGTGTGTGCTCTTTTGAGGGCTAGAATTTTAGAGTAATGTGTAGACGTCCCTGGGCCTGCGAGGTTAGCATTGATGGACATTCACTCTCTTATTTGCAGCATTGAAACCTTTTCACACGTTCTGTAAATATTTATTTAGAGTACATTGTGTACTGGGCTCTGAGTGAGTGAGAAGGGACATGCTTGGTGCTTAGCAGACTTTATATGCTCAACAATTATTTATGCATGAACGAAATTGGATTCCCAGCTCACACAGGTGTCCCTAAAGCACATATGGAAAGGTTGACAAACAGATGTAATGAGCAGGGAATCCTGAAAAGAGACTGAAGAGGGATGAGTAAAAAGGAGCGCTGTGTATCTAATGTGGCTGTCCACACGTCCCCATTCACACGGAGCCTTTGCCAGGGTTTCAAGCACTCGGTGCTGGTTTCAGGTGATCAGCCGAGGCCTAAGAAGTATTTTCTTTGACCCAAGAGAGCTCACTTCTGTTCATCACCTGCTAGATGGCTTCTCCCAATTGCTAGCATCGGCATTTTTTTCTTCTATATTTTCACTTAAGTTTATAAAATATTAAGGGCAAAATGCAATAAAATATTCAAGTCGTTGACCCAAATAAATACCATTACACAGAAAAAACTGTCAAGAATGAGTATTAGCTCCCACGTTTCCCTGAGGGGCAACTTGATGTGTTGGCCCAATAGTGGCTGAGGGTCTTGGTATACAGTGAAGAGTGAGTTTTCTGGATGTGGCAGTCACAGGAGGTCGAAGAGGTTCTGGTTCTAGTTCCTGTAAACAGCAAGTTGCCTAATCATGTGAGACCTAATTGTTCTTGTGTGCAAAATGAGAAAGGCTGGGCTCTGTGAAGGCTAAAGGTCTTTTGACATTTACAGTTAAAAACATTATTCATTTTAGCAAATTCATTCATTCTGCTGTTATTCATTGAACGCCTGCGATGTGGCAAGCACTGTTCCAGTTGCTGGGGAAACAGTGAACAGACAGACAGAAGTCCCTAGTTTTGTATTCTAGGAGCTTACCTTCCTACTTAGATAATACACAGTTAAATGAAAACATACAGTAGGTGACCAGTGCTCCTCAACACTGTCGAGGTCGTCAAAAACAAGAACAGTCTGAGAAACTGCCACAGTCAAGAAGAGCCCAAGGAGATGTGACAGCTGAATGAAATGTATCCTGAATGGGATGCTGGACCAGGGAAAAACACGTTAGGTAAAAACGGAGGAAACCAAGTAAAGTATGGACTTCAGTTGTTAATAGTGTATCAGTATTGGCTCACTAGTTGGGACAAATGTCCCACACTAGCATAGGTGTTAATAATAGAAACCAGGTGTATGTCGTATGAGAACTATCTTATAGTGGTACCATCTTTATGATGTTTCTGAAAATCTAAAACCGCAAAGCCAGATCAGAGGGGCAGGGAGTACAGCTGGTGGGGAAGGTGAGGGAGGGCCTTACCGAGAAGATGGTACTTGGGCAGAGCCCTGGGTGGACGTGAGCGAGCCACCATGTGGATGTGGGGAGGGGGGACGTGTGTTGAAGACAGAGGGAACAGCAAGAGGCAAGGCCTGCCGCAGAGGACAACTCGGAGGCCTGCTGGTTGCCATGCAGGGCGCCCGCTGGGAGAAGAAGTGGAGGTAGGGAGTTAGGTCAGACGCATGGGCTGGGCGGGAGGCTGGAGCAGTGGCTGGGCATCCAGAACCTTCCCAGGCCTGGTCAGGACTTTGGCATCAACTCTGGGCCAGAGGCTGGCAAAGCGGTGGCTCTGGCCTTCTCCACATCAGCACGACCCTCCTTTCAAAGGCTTTGGGAAGTGGCCACTCAAGGGCCTCATTAGGCCTTAGAGCAGGGGTCGGAAAACTGCATGTTAGGGCCAAGTCCCATGTCCGGCTTTTTTCCGCAGAGGCGAGCCCGTGCCGTCCCTCACCCTTCCATCCGTGAGGTGGTTTCGTACACTCATAGTACAATTTGTAATTGTTTTGTCACATTCTGTTTTCTATCCTGGGATTCTCCTAAATTCCTAAACGATTTGTTAAAATTTGCATACAGTAAGGCTCGCTCTTTATGCTGTAAAGTTCTATAGGTTTTGACAAATGCATAGTGGTGTGTATCCACAAGTACTGTATCATACAGAATAATTGCACTGTCTGGTCACACCCTGTTAACT